TAGCGATCGGTAGCCGATCAATCGGAGCACCCCTAATTTTAATGAATCAGAAAAGATGAATCACTCTTTGGCCAACTGATATTTTAGGTGTGGAGATGAGGTTGGGATCATGCTTTTTCGGTAGTACTACATAGCATAGTACTAGTAGCACAACGTGACTGTATATTAGTATTGTTTACTAACGCTAAGCGCTTGTCATATTATCACAAATATTCATTGTTTTCAACCATATAATACTTATTTTAGGTTTCAGACATTTAAATACACATAAGTACTAGCTCAGCTAGAATATTTTAAACTCACGTGCGAAAGGGTTAAAAAATGTCAGTTTTTGTTATGCTAGTTGTTGCTATGATATTGAAATTGCTATCAAAAATAATGAAATTTCAATGATATTGGTATTGACTGGTAGCTACTGGTATCGTGAAGGCTTTTCTTCTGCTTTCTAACAGGAACTCACGTGATGGAGGGATCTGGCCGAATGGTGGTCAGTGCCGTGGGCCTGAATTCTCAGACTGGAATCATTTTCACCCTTTTGGGCGCCGGCGATGAGGAGAAGAAGGTGAAGAAAGGTGAGAAACTAACGTACTTTCATTCTCATTTGGATAACTCCCTCTCTCTTTGAGTGAGTAAACAGTCTACCTCTCTGTTTGGGAGGTTACCTACCATCAGCCTGCCAAGAGGTAAGAGCTATTTACATGATTTGCTGAATTGTCTTCCTCCCCCAAAACGCCGGCTGCTCTGAAGGTTTAAATTTGCCATTTATTTGGGGAATAATCACAGTATGTCAGTGAATACGTACAATGTCCTTTGAGTCACTTTCCATTGTACTAACTCTTTTATCTTAAATATTTTGTTTTTCTACATTTTTTCAGTTAGCTAAATTTGATCTAGTTATTTCTAATTGGCTAAATGTATTATTTAAAAGAAAAAAATTTTTTGTAAACATTACACTCATAACACTGAGATGGTTATGATAATTGAACAGTCAAAGAAACAGTCATACTTGTCATGTTATTCCATCTCCAATTTAGCATGCAGTATGTCCTTACTGCATGCACTGGTCCTCCAGGGTATGTAAAAAAAATAAAAAAAAAAAAACCTGCTGTCAGCTCACAGTGTCTCTTTAATGTTCCTATTTGTTGGGTTGTAATTCAGCAGTCAGACTGGTCTAAATGGTTTGCTGTCTCACTGCTAAAAGAGCAGCTCTAAAAAGCCAAGAGCAGCTCTGAAACTTTGAATATTTAGATTCCTTGATTTTTGTTAGAATGACAATTCAGTCATTGTCTTCTAGTTAGGTAATTGCCGTAATTTTCCCTTTCCCCTCATGTTCCAAAAATATCTTTGTCAATGTGTTTGCCAATGAAAATTGAGAGAACTGCTTTTTGGTTTCAGCCAAACCCTGTTGGCATTATCATAGTTCGTGATGCAAGCGAACAAAAAATTGGAAATTTATGAAACTGCTAAATCGTAATGAGGTTTTGTCAGCTGTATGCCACAGTCAAAAACAATGACCAAGCCGTCAGTGTACCCTGCATAAAGCCCCTCCAGTCCTTGTCTTTTTCTATAGATGACACATCCAATCCCACATATACTCATGTAATGTAGTGTTACTTATCTAGTTTTTATTCTTTTGTTATTGTGTTTCTTTCTTTTCTTCTTCTGTCTTTGGTTTATTTACTTTTAGCCATGTAATATCAGCCCTCCGCCCTCTCTCTCTCGTTTTAAACAGGTAAAAAACAAGGACCCCCTGAAAATCGCAACAAAGGTAACCTTTCCCACTCCCTCTCCCTTCTCCCCCCTCCCCCCCTCCCCATTCAGCAGCAAGTCTCGGAGTCTTGTGTCAGTCCCACTCACTCACTTGCTCACTTTCTCTCTCTGTCTTTCTTGCTGTTGCTTACCCCTTCCTGCTGAGCCCGGGGGAGCTTCTCGCCTCGCTTTACCTATCAAAGGGTGCAACTCTCACCTGCTGGAAACGGCACTAAGCAGCCAGAAGACTTTGCAAGTCCGCAGCTCCTCTTTATACAAAGTTTGTCAGTTGCTATAAATAATCGCGATTAATCTAAAATTTGTTAAATGTTTTTACGTCATTCTTACATTTTTCTGAAATGAATATATACTTAAAAAAATTAATTTTCTCAATGTAGTGCTGTCAGTGTTCACTTCCTTTTTTTAAGGCAAGAATATTATTTATAAAAGTTGTATTTTTTTATGCCATAGTGAGGTATGCATTGCAACAATGGAAAAAAAAACACTTTTTTTAATCTAGACGAACAAAGTCGGTGACTAGAGTAATTCATGGTTGGACAACTAGTCGACCATCCTACTCATCCCTATTATATGCAATGTTTTCTGCTCGTAGATAATATTTCGGCGGCCATACTTTGATATTTAATTTCCACCATAAAAACTTTAAATGCCTTTTGTTTAAAGGACTAGATTTGATAAACTCCTTAACTCCTTAAAAAGCCTTAAACCTTAAACGTATTGTTTAATATCATACGTGAACATGTTATCATTGGCAACCCTAATGATTGCATGTATCAATTTGACTTCTGTAGATCTAACTTTTCATTAATGTGACATTTAGATGTCTCTCCTTTTCAGAAGGCAAACTTTCTCTGTGTGCTTGGCCGGGTCATCTGCGAACATTTGTACTGTGTTTCAGAGTGTGCCCACTCTGCCCTGGCTGACCCCAACAACCCCTCCCCAGCCCCACCCCCTGTAGCGCTCGGGGACTGAGCATCTGCTCCAGACAGAGCTGCTCATTTTGTCTGCACAGATCTCCTTCCTTTTGCCCTTGGTCTCAAGCACACAAACACTTACACAAGCTGGTATTGGTTTAACACTGAGTATGTGAATGCAATGTCTTCCCCTGGTCTTAGAGTGTTGGCCAAAAAGTTATTTAGGAAGATTTAATCATGTTCAGGTCTTGCTCCATGGTGTGAGCTTGTACGAAACCCACTTTTCACAATCTAATCAATTCCTGATGGATAAAATGAAGTCCTGCCTTTTTTTTAATAATTGAATGTCCTGTTTCACTCTGAAATATATAGCAAGAACAGTGTGTTACGAACAGGGCCTCATGTTGACTTATTAATTGTTCCTATTCATCCATGAGCTTTTGTGCAGATACACATTGCCCAGTACAGTGTGTTCACAGCTTCATAGATAGTTTATGACGTGAAAGTAATGCTTAGGGGCGTGGCTTATGTGGGAGTTGCACCCTTGCAATATGGACCGGCTGTGGGTTGTTGTTTTTGTCCGTTTCTTTACTTCAGCTCTTTGTTTTTCTCACTGTTGCTTCTTTCTAGGGTGTGGCTCAGGACTTCATGCTGTCTTGTACACTCTTCTCTTGGTCAAAATTTGACCTTTTCTTTCTCCTTTACCCTCTTTCTCTGGTACCCCACTCTCATTTGGGAGTGGAAAAATAAACCAGAATCTCTCTGATCTTTTTCGTCTTCCTTTTGGTCCTTGTTTTTCTCGTGGTGGTTGTTTATCTGGCTGTTTGGACCGTTTTTGTAAATTTTGTAATTTTGTTGTTTGTAAATCACTCTCTTGTTCGTCGTGCGTGCCTCTGTTTGTGTTGTCAGTCAGACAGTCAGTCCGTCCATCAATCCCCGATTCATGTGTGGTTGTTCTGGTCAGCTCTGTCAGTTCTGGTCAGTTGTTTGTTGTGACTGGTGGTCAGGTAGGCTCTTGGACTGTTTCTCAAACTCCACCACTATAGAGTTTCAGCCTGTTGCACACCATGTTTGAGATGATACATAGGCTAACTGCAAAATGAAAATGACTTGGCCTCTTTGTATCTTTTAAAATGGAGACTTAATGGGAATTGGGGGTGAGGGATCAATGTCTATCCACAGCAAAGTGGCAGAATTGGATCTTCGACTCCATTCATTTTTTTATTTTTTTTTTAACTAGCAGCTGATTTGCCTTGATAATTTCTTTTTTTTTTTTAATGTATTATTCCCTTATGTCTATTCCAGTTTGGTACAGTTAATCATAGTACAATATTGCACAAGTTCAGTAAGTTGCTTTTAAAAGTGAATTGAACGTCAGCAGATGCAACTATCAGAGGAGCCATGATGGCACAGTAAGACCATATAAGAGAAATAAAAGGCAAATTTAGTTTAGACTAATCAGCTAATTAAACAGTCTTCAAACCAGAAAGAGATTTTCATTGCCAATTTAAGAGAATTTATAAAATAAAAAAAGTAGATTATGGGTTGAACTTGAATATTTTTTCAGGTGTACACACCTAATATTTATAATAGTATTGAGTAGCTCATTGTCCAGTGCCAATGTAGGGTCCAGTTTTATTGAAATGGCTTGTGTGCTGCTTGAATCCTACTTAATTCAGCGTGCCCACCTTAACCTGCCGGGGAATGGCTCTGTGAATTTAGAGTTTTCTCTTTACCTGCCCAGATTCGCTCAAGCAAAGTCAACTAACAAGTGCTTCTGGTGTGGTTCTTCTGTATAATTCTCTAGGAACCCACTGTATGACTTGCCCTCTAGCTGTTACTGAATTGCCCATTCTCTCCCCTCTTCCCCTTTTCCCCATTCCCCCACCTCTCATCTCCCTCCATCCTTTTTTGGCATGTTCCTCCCTTGTTACCATAACCACTCCTTAAAAATCAACCTCCACAGCTAAGACCCAGGATGGCATTGCTTTGGAGATCCAACCGCTGAAGAGTGAGGAAGGTGCGGAGTCAGAGGAGAAGGAGGAGAAAGAAGAAAAGGAGAAAAAGAAGGTCAACGTCACCAAGAAAGAAAAGTCGGTCCTGCAGGGCAAGCTGACCAGGCTAGCTGTCCAGATTGGAAAAGCAGGTTAGAAGACAACACAACTGAGTGTCAAGTGTGCCCGATAAACTCATATACCATCTCTAAAATGGTTAAATATTTCTTTCCCACAGTTTTTTATTGTGCTTTTTGCAGTGATTTTTGTTGTTGATGTAGAATTAATAGAAATGTCTCATTAGACCAATTTTGCGATACTTCAAGAGAGTAAAAATGTGTTTTATTATCAACTCTGCTTTAAACTTCAGTATCAAAAATGGTGTTTGAGTTGGTCGGTTTGAGTCATTTTACTTCTGTGAATTAGTTCTCTCTAAAACTCTGACATTGATTGATTCACATTTTGAATCTACTTGACAACTGTTAGGTTGAAATCATTGCTCCTAATTCATGTTGAGATGTTTATTTAATATGGTTTAAAAGGCTAGAAGATATTGAAATTTAAAATGTGCAGATATTGTATCTTTATATGTATTTAGTTTAAAGGTGCACTTAAGCCTTTTTTAACAAAGAGAAGTAGAATTTTGGAACTTTGGAGAAGTAGAACATCAGTAGAACTTTGAAAAAAATCTTTCAATTGATCTCTACCTACATCTGGTGATTCTAAGATGAGTGCCATATTTGCCATAGCAAACGATGTGTAGCTTTAAAGCACAATATTTATACTAATTAGCCATGTGTTCACTTTTACAAAAGCACATCATTTTTTTCAGAAGTCCTTTCCGTAAATTAGTTCATTTGGTTCTCAAGGATTGTTTTACTTACTGCTTAAAGAAACAGTGTCACCCAGTATGGAAACAGGCTTGTCCCTTTGGGCTGTGTTCCACCTAATTATCCTACTTCCTACAGTTACCCAATCAAATAACATTCAGATGCAGCACATCAGACCACAGCTGTTGCTGTTATGAACAAAAGTCAGAATGCTTTGTTTCCCTCTGTGCCGTATTGAATTTGAAACTCCCTCTCATCCGGCAGGTCTCATCATGTCTGCTGTGACCGTCATCATCCTCATCCTTTTCTTTGTCATTGATACATTTGGCGTCCAGGGCCGCGAGTGGACAGCAGAGTGCACTCCAATCTACATTCAATACTTTGTGAAGTTTTTCATTATTGGCGTGACCGTGCTGGTGGTAGCCGTGCCTGAGGGGCTGCCTCTAGCTGTCACTATCTCCCTGGCTTATTCCGTCAAGGTGAGAGCCTCTGGGTTAGTTAACCACTACAAACCTGTATACATCAGTAAATGTTGCTTGATTCTTTACATTAGTGCTAATCTATGTTTGGGGGCTAAAGCACACTCCTTTCCCTGAGTATAACCACATTAATTCCTGTTTTTCCTCAACAGAAAATGATGAAAGACAACAACCTGGTGAGGCACCTGGATGCCTGTGAGACCATGGGTAATGCCACTGCCATCTGCTCTGACAAAACTGGAACGCTAACTATGAATCGCATGACAGTGGTGCAGGCTTTCATGGGTGACACACACTATAAAAGCATTCCTGAATCAGAGGCCATTAATCCAGAGACTCTTGAGCTACTGGTGAACAGCATCTCCATAAACTCAGCCTACACTACCAAGATCCTGGTAAGAATTAGCCATACACAAATGAGATACAGATGAGTGAATGATCTGTTTTGTTTTCTGTTTATTTATTAATTATAGGGTTGTCAAATTAGAAGTCCACAATGAGCCCCAGCAAAAACACACTTACCAAGAGCAGACAGCACAAAATGACTAAGGAGCCATTCACATAAGGCATTTTAATTGCGTTAAATAATAAAAATAAATTAAATATAAACAGGAATATAAAAAAAAGACAAAAGCACAACATTACTAAAAAATAAAGTTACAATGAAAACTGAATGTAAAAATAATATTCAAATTCAAAGTATTATTATACTTTGTACTATATACTTTGTATATACAGTAAATAATCCTAAAATGACAATAGTCTGAACTACTTCTTAGTCTACATCAAACAGATTGACAACTCAAACAATTAGCAAAATGGATTATGGTCAGGCAGAGAAAGACTTATGTTCAAAGATGTGTTATAAAACAATATATGGACGTTTGCAGCCATTTTTCTTATGTCTGTTCAGTACTTTACTTGTCTGCCACAATATGTTTCAATTATTTCAATTTGGGTTTTTTTTTTTTCTCAGAAAATATCAATATGTGTGATTAAATGCAATTAATTTGATAAAATAATTGCCATATGTAATGTATTAACTGACATTTTTTTTTTATTGACTATCAGTTCTATTCTTTTTTAACCTTTCTTGCCTACTATTTACTATATATCTTTCTTTCCCATAGCCTTCTGAGAAGGAGGGAGGTCTGCCAAGGCACGTGGGTAATAAGACAGAGTGTGCCCTTCTTGGTCTGGTGTTGGAGCTGAAGAGAGACTATCAGCCTATTAGAGATGAGGTTCCTGAGGAGAAACTTTATAAGGTTTACACATTCAACTCCTCCCGGAAGAGCATGAGCACTGTACTAAAGAACACCAGTGGTCCCGGCTTCCGAATGTACAGCAAAGGCGCCTCTGAGATTGTCCTGCGCAAGTATGCTAAATTAACTTATTCTCAAGCTCTTAAAGGGGTCTTATTATAAGGAATAAAATTTTACTTAATATTTAGAGATAAAGGAGTTTGATATACGGTGAAAAGTTCTGAAGTTTTTGGTTTTCTAATGTCACAAACCTGAAGCATTAAGGGGGCGCTTCTTAAGCCCCTGGAGTCGAAGACCGCACTGGTGTGGTCTGTCTCGTATTTTCTTGATGACTGCGAAAAGAACTAAAAATAACTAAAAGTACAGATAAGAATAAGGTATCGTTTTAAACTGCAAAGGGTCTACTTTTATTTATGTATAGCCATAATAACAACAAAACAATGTGCTTTTGTAAAATAAAGAAAATAAACAGGGTGCGCTCCTCACTGTCTCCACGAACTGCTTTTAGAAACGCGTCACTAAAATGAACTGAAACTCAGCGAATACTTTACATACAGACATGAGAAATATATCTATAGAAAGCTTGACATGTCTACTCTTAAATAATAATAATAATAATAATTCATTACATTTATATAGCGCTTTTCTAGGCATTCAAAGCGCTTTAAATTGTCAGGGGGTATCTCCTCATCCACCACCAGTGTGCAGCATCCATCTGGATTAAATGAAGTAACTCTTACCGAAAACAAATATTCTGTGATAAAGTAATCCGTATGAAACCAACGACAGGTCCAGTTTTTCCCGTCTGTTCTCATTATCTCTAATTAGATCACACCCACGCGCTGCTTGCGCTATTGATATTACAAATCTCCACGTGAGACGTGCGACATGTAAACGGCCACATCGCCGTAAACAAAGCAGCAACATGTTCATCTCGGATACTTTTCCTTTTTGGAAGAAGAAAAGAGAGGAATAAGCCTTGTATTTACCTCAGAAGACGGGCTGAGAGGAAAAAGCCTTGTATTTACCTCAGAAGACGCGCTGAGAGGAAAAAGCTTTATGTTTACCTCACAAACAGAACGCGAGCGCGGCTGGAGCCAGCAGAGGAGATCTTTCATACCGAGTAAGTAAAGTTTCTTATTTGCATTAGATAATGTGTTGTTGTGACATAAACTTGAACACATTTACTAGTTGGACTTTCCCCAAACTATAATTCCAGACTAAAATGTGTGAAATCAAATGCAACATTTTGAAATATGATAGGCAACCTTTCATTACATCTAAATGTACGGCGTGAGGATGGATTTATGTTCAATACTATAAACAATATATAAAAGTAATTGTTTACACGATATAAAAGTAATGTCTATGAGTGTTTAGACCAATCATTACTGTGAAATACTCTGTCTGCAAATATGTTCAAACGTGCTCACCAATAATAATTTAGCTTCTCAGATATAGAATGTCATTGTTGTACTGTATGTGCATCTGATATAAAATCACATGGGGAATATTAGTGATTGCTAATGTAATAATATAGTTTCTATCAACATGCTATCAACATGCACACTTATTTATTTATTTTATTTATTTTAGTGGGGGGGGGTTAAGAGATTATAGAAATTAATACTTTTATTTAGCAAGGATGCTTTAAATTGATCAAAAGTGAAGATAAAGACATTTATAATGTTACAAAAGATTTCTATTTCAGATAAATGCTGTTCTTCTGAACTTTCTATTCATCAAAGAAACTGTCTAAGAATGTTTAGACCAATCATTACTGTGAAATACCCTGTCTGCAAATATGTTCAAACGTGCTTACCAATGATAATTTAGTTTCTCAGATATAGAATGTCCTTTTTGTACTGTATGTTATGATATAAAATAAAATCACGTGGGAAATATTAGTGATTGCTAATAATATAGTTTCTATCAACATGCTATCAACATGCACACTTATTTATTTATTTTATTTATTTTAGTGGGGGGGGGGTTTTCAACAACAGTAATAATAATAATAATAGTAATAATTAGGGATGCACCGGGCCCGATACTGGTCTCCTGTAATCGTACTCGTACTCGTTAAAATGCCCCAATACCAAACTCCGATACCACACAGCATGTGATAAGCGCCATATTCAAACAAAGAAACACCAACAACAGAACAACAGACAGCAGAAATGAGTTAAGGATGTCTACTACGAAGTATATGTATGCAATGAATATAACGTTAAACATTCTCTTCAAAATGTTGTTCAAGTTTCCTGCCGCTGTTTTGGATATTTTGGATATTGCACCCATGACGTCTTGACTCTCGTGTTGTTGTTTTTGTTTTTGTTTTCCTAATAAACTGTTTTAACTGCAATTGCAAGTGAATCTCAAGTTATTTTATGTGATAGTTATATATATTCTAAATAAACTGCAAACAAAAAATATATAAATTTATTTTCCTCACATTCTTTCTTGTAGCAATTTCCCCTCAGTCACATACCTGACTGAAAGGCTCATTATGCAGCTCATTATGCGGGCCTTTGTGAATCACAGCATTATGCATGACCATTCACGCCCCCTCGCATATACCTTTTCTACACAAAAAGTGTCTTAGAAAATTGAAATCAATATATTGTTTTCTGTGAATGAGTGAGTAAGATGATTTTCACATAATTTTGAAGCAAAAACTCTAGTAAAATGTTTATAAGCAACTGAAAAAAGCACAAATGTCAGGGCATGTCAAAACTTCTCCAGGGCCCCAAAACACCCGCAGACTTTTTGCTGTTAAAGGCACAACAGCAAAAGAATTTAGTTACTTTTTTTTTTTTTATATAAATGGAGGATAAGGGAATTAAATTATATGAAAATGATATGATGAAAAATGACCCCTTTATTTTCTCCTCTATTGCGTCTTCCTCCTGCAGCAAAATGTAATCATTGCCGTTTGTAGTGATTATTCAACTTTTCTCTTTTCTGTCAGGTGTTCCCATATCCTTGATGCTTCAGGCCAGTCACGTGTCTTCAAGGCCAAAGATCGGGATGAGATGGTGCGGAAAGTGATCGAGCCAATGGCCTGTGACGGGTTAAGGACCATTTGCATAGCCATGAGGGAATTCACAACAGAGCCAGACTGGGACAACGAGGCTGACATTCTGAATAACCTGACCTGCATCTGTGTTGTGGGAATTGAAGACCCTGTTCGTCCTGAGGTGAGAGAAATGGTCCAGTTTGCTCTTTGTTAATAGCGTCGTGCTTGTCCGTAGTGCAGGAATTACACACTTCACATTGGCTGGAGATTTGTATACTTCAGGCCTCTGTTCATAATGAGACATGACAATCATTAGGGGGCCGGCTTGTCGCGACTGGGGCAACCCGCCACATTTCATGTAATGAAAAATTATTTACCGTGATTATCATGTGATGATGATGGATTATTTGCTGAGTGTCAAACACTATGTGAAAGTGTGGACAGGAATAGCCTCATTGGTGGAGGGACAAACTGACCTAATTCCCTTGAATGTGGTAAAATAAGTACATGACAGGCGATGTGCTGTTTTTGATTATGATATTGGATCAGTGCAGAATTGACGTCAGCTTCCCTCAAATGAGGTGGCATATATAATTCTATAATGGAACGCATGACTGATATTTAGGTTAAAATGTTTCCTGCAGGCTTTATTGATCCATTTTATCTCTGTTCCCTTCTACAGTGTGATTAAAAGTCATCCTTTCTATATGTTCACAACTATACAATTATTTTTTTCTGTTAAGCATCCCGGCTTGGCATCATTATGAGTAGATCAAGGGGAACAAAAAAGAATAGCCAGTAAGTTTTAGCCTGAAATTTTTAGAGAAATTTTCCATTAAAAAAAAAGGCTTAAGAAGTCATTGAGTCATGAAAATTAACAAAAACTTAGGGTTAAGGGAATTTCCTGTTAATGTTTTTTTCCTCTTCCCAGTTGCTGTGATCTTAAATATTTCCTTGTGTAGAAACTGATTTTTGTGATTTCATATAAAATTATATTTAAAAATCCTTATCGAGTAGTCACAAACCAACTAACAAAAAATTCTGGAAATATAAATTCATGGAAATTAATTGCAGTGTAGAACGGTTGCTGTTGTTGAATCAATTGTCATCCTTTTTCCATTTACAATGCAGTCAGATGCTCTGTTTGTAAGCCAGTCTTAAATACTGGATTCTGTCTGACATTCATAGGTGTTTCTCTAACAGTAAACTTGCTTTGAGCTGGTAAAAAAGAAAACTCCAAGTCTTACGGTTGGAGTTGATGCAGAGGGCAATATTATGTTAAGGCATTGGTCTGATAGTGGCGCTAGCCCATTTACAGCTTTGAAATGAAATCGTGGAGCCATGTAGCGATGACAAGATGGGCTTGAATGTTTTTGTCCTAGTGAAAATGACTCTCTTGCAGTAATGTTCAGAGCCATCTGTAGCTTATTTGGTTTATTTCTGCTATTGCAGGCAAGACAAGAGTCAAGTCTAGAGTTTATTAATGCACACACAAGTTTCTCTAAATCATGCAACATGTTCTCCACATGCATCCCTTGTGCATTGTCTCTGTCCATGGAAACACTGGGAGGTTTTTAATTATCTATAAATAAATGAGCTTATTGGTTCTAATTACGAGTATGGTGTGATTTATCGCAAGACTGGGTGGGGATAATTACATAGGACTCCAGCATACACACACAAAACCTCTGGATCCAGCCTCTTCATGTGTTAAGTAGTCTTGGTACCCCTTTCTGCTTAACACACCACGAGCTGACAGGATGCCTCACCAAGAGTGACTGCAATGTCCTCATCTCTCACTGATCTGAGGCCAGCAGTGACACGGAGGAAGAAATTTGTCTTGTTTTCAGCCATGAAGTCTATAATGGCAATGGAATGCAGGGGACCTCTTTTCTACGGGGATCAGCCTTGTTAATATATATAAAGCATTCATTAAATATGATTTATTACAGAAAAACCAATTTTTTGTGACATTGTCAGATGTGAAAGTGAGAGAGATCTTAATGTAGTAAACAGAAGGATTCAGTGAGTAGTTCCTTAGAATGACAACTGCTCCTGATGAGTCTTTTAAGTCATTCATGAATCAGACAACACTAGCCATGCGTGGTGTGAACATTATTTATTATATAAATTAATGTTTTATATTCATATTATTATTTTTCTTATTTCATATGATATATTTTCTAATATTTTTTCCTGTTTTTTTTTTTGTTTTGCTTTGTTTTTTTAGCACAGTGGAGAAGGGCTATACACAATGGAAAAATGGAGAGTATAGATTATTAACTGTTTATTTATCATAGATTTTGCCATTATTGAACAACTGGGAAAATGGATTGAACTCTTGATAAGTAATTGTGAAATCCTCTGGTATGGATTTTCTAACACAACTTGATCCAAGTACATCCAGACTATTTGGCATTGATCTGTTATTTATTTATTTTATTTTTTTTCAATTATCAAACATATTTATCTCCAGATTCAACACCGAAGTGGCTGAATTGATATGGCAGTGGTTGCTAGGCTGCTCAACATGCTTTGTATCAAGCCAAATAATGGTCCTTCTATTCCTCCGGTGTGCAGGTTCCTGAGGCTATCTCTAAATGTCAGCGAGCAGGCATCACTGTCCGTATGGTCACTGGAGACAACATCAACACAGCCCGCGCCATCGCCACCAAATGTGGAATCCTGCAGCCTGGAGAGGACTTCCTGTGCCTGGAAGGCAAAGACTTCAACCAGCAGATTCGCAATGACAAAGGAGAGGTAAAGAGCTACAGAGCTGTATCTGCAGATGTCTAAGTCGACATGTAAAGTGCTTATTTCAGTGTTGCCTTTATCTTTAGGTTGAACAAGAGCGTCTTGACAAGGTCTGGCCCAAACTGCGTGTTCTGGCTCGTTCCTCGCCAACAGACAAACACACTCTGGTTAAAGGTGAGATCTTTACGTATGGTTGGGTGAGCTTATAGTTCACTCTTTCACTGATAACATCACTATTTAAGCTAAAATTATAAAACAAAGTGTTTGAAAACCAATATATTCACAGTATATTCACATACATTTTGGTTTATCTTGAAGCAGTTTCTGTATTGTTGTCTTTCAGGCATCATTGACAGCACAGTTGGAGAAACCAGACAGGTGGTGGCTGTGACTGGAGACGGCACTAACGACGGTCCTGCCCTTAAAAAAGCAGATGTTGGCTTTGCTATGGTAAATGATGTGCTTTTTTGTATGTGTTCCTATAATTGTACAACTGTTGTTTTTCTTACAAATATGGTTTTATTCAAAAATAGTGCATATACTCAAATTTTTCTGACTAGTCTGTTTTAGATCACTTGGTTTAGCTATTAAAATGGCTGTTTTGTCTTTTTATTATGAGAGACAGTTGCCGGATGAGAGTCTGGCTCATTCAATGAGGGTTTGGCAGCAAATGTTATACTGTAGCTTAAATTGCTTTAAAGGGGTCATATGATGCTGCTAAAAAGAACATTATTTTGTGTATTTGGTGTAATGAAATGTGTTTATGCGGTTTAAAGTTAAAAAAAACATTATTTTCCACATACTGTACATTATTGTTTCTCCTCTATGCCCCGCCTTTTTGAAACGTGTCGATTTTTACAAAGCTCATCGGTCTGAAAAAGCGAGGTGTGCTCTGATTGGCCAGCTATCCAATGCGTTGTGATTGGCCGAATACCTCAAGCGTGAGACGGAAATGTTACGCCCCT